GCTCTTTCAGTTTTTTTTTTTCTTTTCTTTTTTTAAAAACATTTTTTCAATTCTACAGCTTGATGGGCATCTGGGACCAAGGGTGCCTTTGTTAAGTATTCAACTTCCCTTGCTCTTTCATCCAAGATGGAAGAGCTCCCAGCAATCATCTCTAGAGACTCACAAGAAATTCTTAACAAAACCAGAGGAAAAACTAGACTTGACATTAATAGTTCAAAGAGTAGAAAATGCATAATTAAAAAAAACTGCAAGCCTTGCTATATATCCAAAGAAAACCAGCCTTTTAAAAACAAAAATACTTCCCAGATACCTCATGGAGAGGAGGATGCTATAGAAAAGTGAGGACAGCATGCAAATGTGTGTGGTTTGATTTCCTCTTCCAAAATGAAGTCTAAATGCACAGAGATTAATTGACTCTCAGACAATTTATCTCTCAACTTAAGCACAGTTTTAAGGGTACTACAGGGAGAAGGTCTGTGTGTTTCACTGAGGCAACATACCCCAACTTGAGAAGAAGTGCTGAGATGGGAGAAACTAGAAGCAGCAGCTGGTATCTCAAGCAGTTTTCCCAAAAGAGCAGTTACTGATCTACACACAAACGTAGTTCCAGGCCTGTGGAGCTCAGAAACTCCAAACAGATGCTGCTTTCCCCTGCAAATTTCCTCTCAACCCTTCTTCTCACCTGCCTTACTGTGATTATCTGAATTGTTTTATATTGCTGCAGAACTTAGAGATGCTTTATCACAGAGAATAGTTTTCTAACCCCAACATTAGTTAATAGACACTGGATGAATTTTAATATGAAGTGTTCCCCCACTTGGGGGATTTTATTAAGTCTTGAACTATCACCAACTGATGAAGAGTCTTCCTTTACTATTTTACAAAATATACCCTGCTTAAATGAAAACAGGCTAAATATAAATAGTAACCCCCATAACAACACATCCCCTGCAGCCTCCAACAGGTACTAACGATGATTTAAGGCGTAAAAGCTTTATGAAACAAGTTTTCTAGTAAGTAACAGGTATCATTTTCAGCTGTCGTAGTTTAGTCCTAAGTGTACTCATGATAGTGATGTTGCATTACTACAGATACATGCCATTAGTCAAATTGAAAATAAACATCTGTGCTTACTACAAAGCATATTCTAAACTTAAAGTGCTGCTGGTAACAATCAGGTGAACACAGAAAGGCTCTGTCAGTCTGGATCCGCCTCTGTTCCTCAGGCTGGGAATAAGAGTTTTAATACTGTCTTCTGCTCTTCTATGGCCTCCAGCAGGCACCACAGACTAAAAAGTTCTTCCCTCCCCATTTTTACTTGACTCTGTGCAAGGCGAGTCATGGGGCCACAGGCTAACACAGGCACAGAAACAAGAAAATTAGGCTGGAAGTTTTTTTTGAAGAAAAATAAGGTAACCTACATATGTATGTTGGATGCATTGTTGCTCAGTTCTTCACCCTTTACTATCTATTGGTCTTTTTCAATTTATACTTCAAGCCTTTCTGAATAGGATAGGTATCATCTTCCATACTTGCACAATACTTACAAAAGGCCTCCAAATCCACTGGGGAAGTCACCTCACTGCCTTTCAAGTCATTTGCATAATTGCAAAACTTCCACTCTAATGTAAGGTAACTATCTAATAATAAACTTCTAATACTTGCTTATGAAAGAAATTATTATGCATGCACATGGCAAAAAAAGCTTCCACTCCTACTAAAGATCACATTTAATACTCTTATTCTAACACTAACCTGTGAGCAACAGACCATGTCAATAATATGGGAGTAGACAAATAAAAGCAGCTTGTAGGTCATGACAGAAGTCATAGAAAGTCTCAGAATACCAAAATATTTACAAAGGAATTTGCGCTTATATTACTCATTGCTATGCCAAATTGGAAATTTAGAGAAGGGAATTACCAATACACAGACATAAAATGTAACTTATGTTATGCAAACAGATTCTTACAACCGCACTAAAAACACAAGTGAAGCCAAAAGCAGACTGGAGGGAAAGGAAGAAGGCAGGCAAGCCTACTGCTCTAAATGAAATCAATGGGAGTTCTGCCACCGGCTTAAAAGCACAAGTAAGAGCTGGCCAGAAGATCATGAGGTGATTCAGCAGTCATTCTCAGGACATCTGAACAAAAAGCCCTTAAAACCTCTCAGTACAAAAGCCACAAAATAAAGGAAACTGCCAGTTCCAGCTTAATAAGACTATTTTACACAGTGCTTGGTGAAGATAATATGTAATGGAAAATTATTGAAAAAGGGTAATAATGTCTGTAAGGTGGTTGTACTAAAGAACTATCCATTTAAATAGCTTAAGGTCCAGTTGCTGATAGAAAAGCTTTATGGTGCGCATCCTAAAAGTAAAGTGGATAAGACTCTGATAATATTGATGTTTATCGTTAGAAGACCTACTTGGACTTATAGTCTCTTTATGATGAAAACAAACTTGATCAAACTGGCATATACAAAGATCTTTATTACATTCAAAATTCAAATTTTTCTGTGAAAACATACAAAAATAGTTAAGTTGTATGCCTACATCTTTAGGTCAAGATGAATTCAGTAGTAAATTTTGAAACAGAACATGTGTCATTTCAGATAAGATATCTAATCCAAGTCTGTGTCTGTGAAATTGTATAATTCTCCTGGGCATTTAGAGCAATGCGAAGCACAAATATTTAAGACTCATTGAGAAGTCAGTAAAGCTTGATAGTACACATTAAAAAAAAAGACTCCTCTAGTAAATTGTGAAGTGCTGGGGAAGAGGAAGCAGAATCACTACATCATGTCATTACAGAAAGCAGACCTTGCATAACATCTAGAATTCACTGAATATAGACTCATCTTGAAAAAAAAGAATCCTACCACATTAATATAATCGACTGTAGACTACATATGTGCAGTAGAGAACAATGTTATTTCTCTTTACATGTAAAGGCCAATCTACTGAACCCCCAGTGAACAAATCAAAGTTCCTCTCTTTAATCTTTTTATCCTTTGTGCAAAAATAAAGGGCTTACCAAAGGCTATTTTGAAAGCAAACACTTTCTACTACATAAGAACTATCCTAAAAATTTCACGTTAATGAAAAATTTAATCGCATGCAACATTACCGTGCAAATACACATTTCACAGTGAACTATTTTATAAGTGTTTAAGACAGAGTTTTTAGTCTGTTTTTAACCCTTTATTCCAAAAAAATCCTTTGTTAAAAGAAGAAATGTCAGAGGTTCTGATACGGTTGCAGTTTGAAGGGTCAGAAAGCCCGAGTAGAAACAGTCCACTGGGTAGAACGTAGTGAAAGACAACGGAAAATGGGTGGAAAGAAAACATGGCTGTAGCAGAGCATACAGAGCCAGACAAAGGACTGTCATCATGCAAAGTATGTCCCGAAGTAGCACTGGCAGCACACTGGTATAAACCTTGCACATGCAGACCCCCCTGCCCAATTTTAAACATTTTGGTGGTTTGCCATAGCTTGTTTGAATTATATTTACCATCCTCTGTCTGTAACAGCAGCGACCTGAAAAATACATTTTTAAGTGATGCTGCTGAGTGATCAAGACCTGAACTGGTTCAGGCTGGCATAAGAAGTTACTCTGCAAAGTCCTGCCCAGAATACCAGCAACAGCTAAAGAGGACCAAGGCCCTGGCTTGAGCACTGGCCTGTGATTGCCCATACTGTTTAATAGTTTGGACTCCGTGGCCACGCCAGCAGCACTGCCCAGACAATGCTTGGACATAGTTCAGGAAGCGTACCTGCCACAGATCATTCTTGGTAGACAGCATGGACAAGGCCACCAGTTTTGGAGCAACTGGAGAGAGTGGGAAAAGAGGTTAGGTATATGAATATATGAGTCTTACTGTTACATTTACTTTGGCATATTCTGCTTATTAACATGACACAGCTACTGTGTCTGCACTGATGTTATGACCTCCCTGCATGTGTCTAAAATTTCTGAAGGAGTATCACACGGTTCTTTGCTTCTGGGCAGTCCTTGAGCTCAATTTCCTGAGCCAACCCAGGACAGATTCAAATCTGAACAACAAATGCAGAAGGTAATTTAAAGAGGATGCCAAGTTCTGAAAGCATAAGATTACCTGCAGGACTAGCAGAGATGAACAGAACTATTAAAATCACTTGATTACAACATTAAACTCAAGTCTGTTAACTTGCAAGGAAGAAGTGAACGCTCAGTTCTGTTGAGAAGCTGAGAAAATCTATCCTGCAGAACTTCACAACTTTTCCCCCACTGTGCAGCAAGTATAGGTCAGTTTTTAAAGCAGTGATATTTTAATATCTAGAGAAGAAAATATAGGCTTCAGGTCATTGATCTTTGGAAGCAAAGTATACAGGATCACAGAGGGAATTCACTCCATCTTGGGTAGAAGGGACTTGGCAGAGCATTAAACATACAACTTTTTGTTCTTAGTATTAGAGTAAAACCCAGGGAGAGAAATTAAAGGAAAGAGTATGTAAAACAGTCAAGGGTGCCTATTTATAACCTGGATATTAACACATAAAGAAGGCACAAAGCCTAGTGCAGGTGAAATATAGTTATTTCTGGCACAGAATGTAGCAGCTTTTGAAGCAGCTCCTATATTCATGAGTTGGAAGACAGAAAGTGAAAAAATTATTACACACACTTGCATACATACTCTCAAAGGTCTCAGATAAAAAATATTAATACCCAGCAACATACACCTACCTGGAGGCTAAAAACGAACACTTACTTTTGTTTCATCTACGTATTTTTAATTTTCCTCCTTTTTGTGTTTAATTTATGCTCTGAAGAGCACTTCCAGCTTAAGGTTTGTAGAAAACAAGCTCAAAGCACATAGAATTCAAGTTAGACCCTCATTTTCCCTTCTGGTTATTAAAGCAGAGACTGAGTACTAATGACATGATGATTAGCATCTCTTCAAGCTGCATTCTTGCATCTCTCAAAATCAATTCTCAACAACAAATGTTTACTATTCCTTAGTTTAACAATTATCCAGAATACCATACCATAAATGAGCATATTTCTTAAGAGTCCTTCACTTGATTTTTGACCTTTGTACTAACTGCTGGTTTGGAATTGCTCACTTTCAACAAGTTATTGTATGTATCTCTTTAGTAAATTTATTAATTATTCATAGAGCCACTTACCAAGTAATTAATGATATAAAATCTGTCATATTCTTTGTTTTTGGCATTGATTCTGCGATGCTGCTTCTTTCTCATGTGATCTTTAAGTGTGTTTTTGTCTCTGAAGACTTTTTCACAGTATAAACACTGCAAACTAAGATAAAAAGGTAAACAGGTCAACATACAGATATATACAGTAAGATTAATCCTATACACGTGAGAGCAAGCTGAATGAAAAAGAAAGTTTACTTGAAAAAAAAAAGTACAAGATAATCTTAGATCACAATAGAGTCAATCAAACACAGAGATGACAAAAATGACATAAAATGAAAATACAGATAATAAAAAAGTTTACTGTTTGCTCCACATGCAAAGTAGGAGAAAGGTCTGATTAACCAAAATTGTCCTACCAAGGGCATGGGAGGGCTGCTGATTGGTCAACATGTGAACTCTTAACTCAGCATGCATTGATATAAAATCATATAAAATGATATATATAAAAAATCATATATCAATGACATATAAGCCCGGATAAAACCGGGCTCACTAGAGTTGAACC